GCCCGCGCCGCCGCCCGCGCCACCAACAGTGCATTCTTCGGGCGCATCGGCAATTTTTTAAAAATATTGCAAACTTATGAAAAAGTCCGAATTTGTTTATAACAATGTTTTCGCCAAACATCGAAGGGCAAAAAAGGCAAAAGGACTAAAGTTAGCCCTCCGGCACGCACACTCATCATATAAAACCCGTAATTGCTTCCACTTCACGCCAGTCTTCTGTGTGGTCGTAGTTTTGCACCTGGCGAGGCGAGCCGGCCCTGCAGTGCGAAAATGTTAAATCGGGTTATACCTATGTATATATACAAATAGATTCAAATGTGTTTAATATGTAAATAATATAACTAATTTGTGAAAACGTGATAGTCGCAAAACACAAAGAGTAACTCTGTTGAAAGAGTTGTATTTGTATATTTTGTATTGAAAAAGTATTGTGTTTTAAGGTTGCCGGTCCGGCGGAGGGCGGAGCGCCGGCAGCCGGGGCGCCGCTACCGCGCGACATCGCCGACCTGCTGCAGGAGGTCAGTCTCGCACACGCATCTCGCGGCAGTCATGGAGGTTTGTGACCTGTCGCCGTCGGCGTCGACGTTGAGGCGAGATTGATGGACGCAGCAGAGCGCTTCGTCTGATAAGCGTTTATTTTGTACAGAAAGTGTTTGAGCTAAAAAAAGTCATATAGGCTAGTTATTATTTACTAGACCGGTCAATTTAGACATATAGAAGCACAATGCTGGGAGAGGCGCTCAGTGAATGAGTTAGGCGAGTGGCGAGCGCCGACTGACGATGAACTGGCAAAGACCCATGGTGATATAAACACCTGGATTCTAGCTATCTTCGTTTGGAGACAAGTTATATTCTTGTACTGCTTATCTCAAGTAATCCAGCGATTCAGCGATTTGCACCTGTGATCTGAAGCAGGCGTAAGTCGGGTCGACGCTGACCGGCGTGATGACATTGCAGGTAGAAGCGATATCGCGGTGGATAGACGAGGTGCGCGGCGACTCGCAGCTCATCCGCCGACTGCACTCCGACCCCACATACCACGCCAACGATCGTAAGTAAAATACTCTCACGTTTCATACAGTTCATGCTTCACGTTATGCGAATGTATATTAGCGGCTGGCGGGTCT